AGTCATTTTCTAAGAAAGCATTCTTTCTACAGATAAAATGCCAGAATGTAAGCCCACACAGAGACTTATGCCTTTCCTTATTTTCTGTGAATGTCAATTTTCTTCAATTAAGGTTCAGAAATGAACAATGTACAGTTTTCTCTTTAATTCGGTAAAGCAGTAAAACAATAGGTGTTTTACTCAAAGTGCGGATGATCCCTCAGCAGCCTCCTAGTGTAAGTTCTTGCTGTAATATTCTCCTTGAGGATTCTCTGAGGAAATGCAGCTGGAATGCTGCAGTCCATGATGCGGCAGAGCCACTGGTGACTGATCTGCTTGCCCACCCTGACTCATGGGCACTCCCATATTTTCTTCCCCTGGGGCTCTGTACCCTAACACGAACCCATCCCAGATTCCAAAGATCTGTCAGAATTTTTAAAGCAACACGATTTTTAAAAAATGCATGTGTAGGATGACAGGGCGATTAATACTCACATCTGCACAAGATAGATGGAAGCAAGTGTTGTATGGCTCTCCCTACATTATTGACAAGTTATATTCTTTCAGTAGCCACCTGTCATAGCTGTTGCAGTCACTGTGTGAGAGTTGGCCCAGGCATTCACCTTCCCTCATTTTCTTCAGTAAAGTGCTGCTTATTCCCACATGCCCCATCTCTTCTCAAGGTCCGTCTCGGGTGGCGACTGGGAGTTGACAGGCACACAGTGGGAGATCTAGACAGAGGAGGACAAGGGAAGGGCTAAGTGAATGCAGTCTCTTCTTCACTCTCTGTTCACGACTGTTCCCTTACCATACTCATCCTACCAAAGGGCTGAGCCGAAACAGTGCAAATGAAATCACCCAGTGTCACCCTCAAGAAATCCCCAATGTTATATATGCTTCTACCATCCTCTTCAACATTTCTATTAATGACCTTTGAGAAAAATAAGGAAAGTAGCCAAGCTAATCTGTGAATGGTGCAGGGTTGTATGAGGTACCCTGGATGACCGAAGCAGCGAACTTTGTGTCCCAAAAGACCTAGAATACCTGGTCCTACTCCAGGTGAAAGTGTGGAAGCAGTGCCATTTGTAAAAACTGTTCAGTGGTTTTGAAAGCCGACAGTAACAAGAAAAATGTCATGCCAATAACATGGCTGCCGGAAAAGCCAAGGCAATAGTAGGCCTTCTTTTCAAAGAAAAAATATCTAGTATGGAACCAGCCTAAATTCCCATGAAAAAATAAAAAGATAAAGAAAACATGGTATGAATACACAGTAGAGTATTATTCAGCGGTAAAGAAGAAAGAAATTGTGTCATTTGCATGAAAGTATGTGGGACAGGAAATCATCACGTTAAGCGAAATAAACCAGGCTCAGAAAGACAAGTATCACCTGCTTTCCTTAATATATGGAGTCTATACAAAGTGACACGAAAGCAGAGGGAGAATATTATTAGACAGAAGAAAGTAATAAGGGGAAGACAAGGGGGGGTGAAAGGAAGGGTAATAGGATGTATGTATTCAAAATATACACATATATGAAAATACCTTGAAGTTCAATATTTTGTAAAACTAAGGGACTAATAAAATGTATTATAAAAAGAGAGAAAACACAAAAAAGAATAAAGCATCTAAAAGTGGACCTGCTACCTACTTTGAAAGACCAGGCCACACCTAGAGTCCTGGTCTGAATGCCTTAAATTCTTTTTTTTAATTATTATTATTTTAAAGAGTAAAAGAAGGATAACATGGTAATAGGGGGGCTTACCGAATTACAAAGTGGTAGGAAATTATCAATGGTTGTTGTTTTACACATTGTTATCTACAAGATAGTTTCTCAGGAAAACAAACAGACAAATAATAGTGGGCTACAGACAAAAGTGGTAGGTTATTATCAATGGCTGTTGTACTATACTTTGGTATCTTCAAAGTGGTTTCTAAAGAAAATAAATAGAGCTATACATAAGTGACCAACTGAATATTCATTGACTATTCTCAACCCTGCACCTGAGGCAGGAGGATCACAAGTTCAAATCTAGCCTGGGGAGTTTAGCTACTTAGTGAAACCATCTCAAAATTTAAAAAAAAAAATTGTTGTAGGAAACACATATTAATAAACATACATCCATTTATGAAATAGCATAGGAACAATACAAACATTACAGCATTATGGACAGATTAGTAGGAACATATCAATGGCTGCTGTAATACGGGGTGATATCTTCAAAGTGGTTTCTCAGGAAGACAGAGATACACAAGAAAGATCTAACAAGTGTTACAGCCTAATGGTTGTGAAAAATAGCGTATTATCTCTTCACCAGTGACTCCTTTCACTGAGGTGTGATGGCTGGAATGAATGCCTTAAATTCTGAGTTCCTCATTTTAGGGGAAATGAATGAGCTGGAGCAATTCCAAAACAGAGACTGGGATTGGCATACAAATTTTCAGTTATATGATGTGTAAGTTCAGGGGCTGGGGATTTAGCTCAGTGGCACAGCGCCTGCTTGGCAAGGGCGAGGTCGTGTGTTTGATTCCTGGTACCGGAAAAAAAAACAACAAAAAAAAAAGATGTGTAAGTTCTGGGGATTTAATGCACAGCATGGTGACTGGAGTTAATAATACAGTACTGTTTACTTGAAATTTGATAAAAGAGCAGATTTGTGTCTTCGCTACACACATACAACATGATAACTATGGGTAGTGATAGACATATTAATTAATTTGACTGTGATAATCACCATATAATATATACATATATCAAATCATCACGTTGTATACATTGAATATATATATAATTTTTCAATTGAATTTTAAAACAAGCTGTCTGTGGTGATGCATACCTGTAATTCCAGCACTCATGGAGGCTGAGGCAGGAGGATCACAAGTTCAAATCTAGCCTGGGGAGTTTAGCTACTTAGTGAAACCATCTCAAAATTTAAAAAAAAAAAAAAAAGATCTGGGGCTATAACTCAGTGTGAATGTCCTGGGTTCAGTCTCCAATACTGAAAACAAACAAAAAACAAACTGACAATAACAAAACCCATGCAGTGTCACATGGAGAATGATAGAACAAAGGTCGGTGGGTGAAGAAGGGTCGTGTTCACTACCTTTATATTTGCAGATTAGTAACATAAAAAGCCCTTAACTCTAAGTCAGTGAGATTGCTTAAGAGAGTCTGGACAGAGAAAAATGCTGTGAGACTTCAGGCTGACATTTTGGCAAAGAAACTTTTAGCAAATGTATCAGATAGTGGTAAATGTTTTTATTGTCTTAATAACACAGACCAGGGGGCTGGGGATTTAGTTAAGCGGCACAGTGCCTGCCTGGCAAGTGCAAGGTCGTGAGTTCGACTCCCGGTACTGGAAAACAAAAAACAAAAAGCAAAAACTAACACAGACCATACAACAACAACAAAAAAGGGAGTGATTAGAGAGTCAGCTCAGGACCCATGGGTATTCCTAGAGCATTATGAAAGCAGTATATTCCAGGCTGTCATAGTTCCTTAGGTCTAATTCCTTGGGCTCCTAATAGTGCACCTCCTTCTGGATCCCAGCCCAGTTATTTCCTCGCTGTTCTCAAGCCTACAGATTTCCGTTTCCCCTCTGTGATAATAGTGGTTAAGATCAAGACACATTCCAGCTAAAAAGCAACCACCTGTGTGAGTTCAGGTAAGTGAATTTAACACCTTTCATGCCTTAGTTCCTTCACCTGTTGGATAATAATGGTACATGGGTCCTGGGGTTGCTGTTAAGTCTAAAAGAAGTTGTATGTTAGTGGGTTAGAAGAACATCTAACGTATTCTATTCTTGTGAGCCATTATAATTAGCAAGCCACAACAGCAGTATTTTATGACGGGAAAGGAACTCAGGGTTGATCTGGTGGTGTGAGGCTATAATGCCAGCTTCTCCGGAGGCTGTGGTGGGGAAAATCATGCATAGGAAGCCACCCTGAGCAATATACCATAATGAGACCTTGTCTCAAAACAGAAAAAATAATACAAACCTCTAAAATCAGACTGCTTGGGTTGGTATCTTGGATCTACTAAATACTTTGGACATTGGGCAAATAATTTAACATCCTACACCCTCAATTACGTCATCTGTAAAATGAGAATAATGTTATCTACATTCTAGAATTACTGAGAGAACCGTATGAGACAACACATTTAAAGCTCAGCCCTCCTCAGCTTCGTCTACAGATTTCTCTCCCCCCACCTCAGCAGTACTAGGGGAGTCAACCCAGGGCCCTCACACTGAGCCAGATCCTTATTTAGACACGGACTCACTGAGTCATAAGTTACCCAGGCTGGGTTTGAACTTGTGACCCTCTTGCCTCACGGCTCTCAGAATACTGGACTTACAAGTGTGGGCTACCATGCGCAGCTTGCTGGACTGCCGTGAAACCTAGTACATGCCTGCTGCCAAGTAGGGCAGGGAGGGGAGGAGCTGCTGGATATTTCCTCTCTTGGCTCGATTACTACTGTTGCAGGGTGAACAATTTCATTGCAACTTTTCAGAACCTACAGCATCCAACTTACTCCCTCAGCGTAAAAGGTGCAGAGTTAGTGCAGAACATTGATCCTTTTCTTTAAAGGATTCAGTCTATAATTGTACATTAATGAGCATAGTATTGTGTCCCTCCGCTAGAACAGTGCCTGACACAGAATAGACATTCGATAAACACTTCCTGAATGGACCATCAGACCATGTGATAAATGAGCTGGAGCAGTTGCCTCCCTCAAAGCCTTCCTTCAGCCAGCAGTTCGCTGCGAAAGAGGTTCCCAGCGTCCTTGCAACGGAAGAGGATGGAGGGTCTCTCCACTCCACACTAGTTCTGGCTTCCTTTCAAGACAGCGAGGCCAGAGAATCTGGGAAGAGCACAGCTCCCTACGTAACGCTACTACGTAGTAGGGTTTGGCAGCAGTTTTGAAATACTGTAGCAAAAAGTTGCAAAGGTTTGGGGCAGGATTAAGTTCAGAGTGAAAGCTCCAAATCAAGTCCTCTCAGCCACTGGGGGGCGCAACGCACTGAACAGGAGGCTCTATGGTCGCTCCCTCCGACTCCCATGAGGAAGTGCGACCCAGAGTCTCCTATATACTTCCGTTTCCAGCTAGGCCTCTTTCTTTCCGTGCTGATAGCGCGCCTGCAAGCATGGTAGGTCCTTGATAATATCCAGTTTAATCGTTAGCCCCCTCATCACCGGTACTGTTCTTTGGCTGAGTTCAGGCCCCTGCGTGCCTCACTGTTAGCAAAGAAACCCAATATTGTCGGGATCGACCCCCTAAGGGAGCGGGCTATGAGGTCAGGGGTCGAAGAGGCCGACTTGTGGGTGGGGTTAGTAAGATCTCGCGCTTTGGGGCTAACGGAGAACGCTGTGCTTGACGCACACGGGTCTGGGACCACCTTTCAGAACTACGGAGTCGTGTGTTTTACAGAGTTAGGAGTCGAGTCGTGGGATTACTCAGCTTCAGCTCATGTTGTAGTCTGATAAAACCGCATGTCCCGAACTGCTTTTACTAGGTGAATGTTCCTAAAACCCGGCGAACTTTCTGTAAGAAGTGTGGCAAGCATCAACCCCACAAAGTGACACAGTACAAGAAAGGCAAGGATTCTCTTTATGCCCAGGGTAAGATGGCTTCATTGTAATGCGGTCTTCGTGGGGTATTTGCGAAGAGTACTACCAGCCCACTTTTTTTTTTTTTTTTT